TGTCTGGTTTCTTTTTTTTTTTTAACTTTGTAAGATTCAGCAATATCGTGTATATCTGTAAGCATTCATTCTCATTGCTGTGAAGTATTCTGTGTGTGAACAAACCGTTGGACATCTGGGTAGTTTTCTGTTTTTGTCTATTCCTAGTGGCGCTGCTGTGAATTTCTGTTGAACACGTACACATTCTTGCTGACTACTTTTACCACCAGAGGTTCATACGAGGGGAGGTGAATTATCTTCCATCACGTGTAACTGAATTGATGGTTTTTTTATGGGTGAGTACTATTAGGCTTTTTAAAAAATCTTTTATGGTTTGAGGGCAGGGCTATATATATATATTTTTTGTTGTTGTAGTTTTTGGCCAGGGCCAGGTTTGAACCTGCCACCTCTGGTACATGGGGCCGGCGCCCTACTGCTTGAGCCACAGGTGCTGCCCGGGCTGGGCTGTATTTTAAACATTTTGCATACATGATGGAATACTGTATATTTTACTAGGTCCTCAACTGTTTGCTGGTTGAATGAATGAATAAAGGAATGAATGAATGTGCCTCCGCTTTTGGGGGGATAAGCTCTATTTATAGGCAAGGCCCCCATTTGCCATCTTTAGAATAGGCTGACCTGCTACTTAGCTAAAGCTGATTGATCTGGGGTGGATAAGGGACACAGGCCGGGCTGATATTGTCTCTTCTGGGAATTTAATATTTGGAGCCAAAAAAGGAAAACCTGTTTACTACTGGTGCAAGTCCTTGTGACTGTGTTTTAGAAAGACTGAACCCCTCTGCTATTGGGTACGAAAGGCACAATGTCCTGCTCTGCACTAGTTCCTTGGTGGGGATAAATACATATATGACCGTTAAACAACAATGCAAAAGTATTTTTAAGTTCAAAAATGCAGAGTAGAGGCAAGAAGTGCTGTAAAATGTCAAAACATGGAGAGATCAGTGAGGACTGGCTTTGTCATGCATAGACTGGTGCCTTGGCTGCTGCTGCTTTTTTTTTTTTTTTGTAGAGACAGAGTCTACTTTATCGCCCTTGGTAGAATGCCGTGGCAGAATGCTGTGGCATCACACAATTCACAGCAACCTCCATCTTCTGGGCTTAGGTGATTCTCTTGCCTCAGCCTCCCAAGTAGCTGGGACTACAGGCGCCTGCCACAACGCCCAGCTATTTTTTGTTGTTGTTGTTGCAGTTTTGGCCGGGGCAGGTTTGAACCCTCCACCCTCGGTATATGGGGCTGGCACCCTACCCACTGAGCCACAGGGACAGACCCTGTGCCTTGGCTTCTTAAGGAGAGCTATTTATTTTCCAAGCCAGAAATGGCAGCATTAAGGCAACAATCCAGGAGAAGAGTAATGGGGACTTGAACAAGGGAAGTAGATGTGGGACTGAGGATGGGTGGCAGAATACTACAGGTAAAGACTTTAAGTTCAGAAATTGAACTTGGGGATAAAGAGAGAAATCAAAGATATACTAGGTTTTGAGTTTCTGGGTTAGGAAAGACTATGGTAACATTCCTATAAACAAAGACATTCAGGGAGAGCAAAAAAGGAAGGGATATTGGTGAATTCAGGGTGGAATATATCAAGGTCCTGGGAGACAACAAAATTGTTTTGGTCAAGAAATATGGTGCTGGCAGATACCTGTAATCCTAGCACTCTAGAAGGCCAAGGCAGGAGGATCTCTGGATTTTGAGGCCAGGATTTTGAGACCAGCCTAGATAACATAGTGAGACCTCTACAAAGAAATAAAAAAATTATCCTCAGGGGAGGAAGTGGTGTGTACCTGTAGTCCCAGCTACTCGGGAGGCTGAGGCAGGAGGATAGCTTGACCCAGGTGTTCAAGGTTGAAGTGAGCTATGATGATGCCACTGCACTTTAGCCTGGGAGACAAAGCAAGAGCCTGTTTCTTCAAAAAAAAAAAATTTTTTTTTTTTTTTTTTTTTGAGACAGAGCCTCAAGCTGTTGCCCTGGGTAGAATGCTGTAGCATCACAGCTCACAGCAACCTCCAACTCCTGGGCTCAAGCGATTCTTCTGCCTCCGCCTCCCAAGTAGCTGGGACTACAGGTGCCCACCATGCCTGGCTATTTTTTGGCTGCAGCCATCACTGTTGTTTGGCGGGCCCAGGCTGGATTCAACAGGCACCAAGCCTGTTTCTTCAAATTAAAAAGAGACATGTCTCAGTTCCCTGTCTATAAAATGACACTTCTTTGTAAGGATTAAAATGAGACTGTGCATAGAGAGGGTTTAGCTTATTCTGTGGCAATTAAGTGTTCATAAAATATGTCTTCATAGAATGATGATGATGTCCAGTATCACTGGAAAACGGATTGGAGCACTGCAGCAAGGGCTCTGCTTACAGGAGCGAGGATGCGAGGCAGCTGGCTAAAACGGGCAAGAAGAAAGTGTGGAGTAGTTTTGTGAACCAGCACGGGGGAAGGAGAAATAAACTGAGTGGAAATGGTGGGAAATGAGAAAGAAAGACAAGAGACAGGATAGGATGGGATCGGTAGGTCTGATGCAGCTGATGATGGCAGCCAGCACTGAAGGGTGGAAACAGCTTTATTTATAAAGTACTTTTAACAAGGTAAATATATATATATATATATTTTTTGCCAGGGCTGGGTTTGAACCCACCACCTCTGGCATATGAGGTCAGCACCCTACTCCTTTGAGCCACAGGTGCTGCCTTAACAAGGTAGATCTTAACACCTGGGGGTAAAGATTAACTTTAAGGAGGAAAAGCTGTGTACTTGCCAATAATAAAGAAAGTATGCATGGGCTGCATGACTTCTAGCAGGTGATAAGAATGTTCGTTGTAAAAGAAGGAGAAGCAGCTGGGGGTCCTTCCCTGAATGTCACCCAGGCTGTGCGCAGCTGGTACTCCACCAGTAGAAAAAAGAAATAGCCCAAGTCACATGGTTGGTGAGGGACACAGTGATCTGAGACAGGGAAGGAACAGGAGCTAGCTGTGGAGACTGAGGTAGAGCCTGCTGAGAGGAAGAGGGAGAAGCAGGAGGGAGCCCAGGAGATCCAGAGGCAGAGGGGTGCTCTGCAGCAGCTGGGGCACCCACGAAGTCAAGGGCACACGAAATTGTAGGTGAACATCCTTTTTCTTCTTAAAGCCTGGATATTGTTAACACAGCAGCTGTTCCCTGATTCATCTCTCCCAGTCTCAATTCCTAGTTGTCCCCAATTCAGCCTTTTTATTCTCTCCCCTCTCCTATCTCTCAGCTGCTTACAATATAGAATCACTTATGGCCTCTAACATCTTAACATTGTTGACTGTCAGTTTTACTCAGAATCTATGCCTGTTACCAGGTAACGTGTGACTGGCCAGCAAAGTGATTAAAGTCAGATAAATCGACTTCAGGGGCAGCAATGTGTTATTTAAGTTACTCAAATGTAAAAGAAGACTGCCTGTTCCAGGTAGCAGGTATCTGCATGTCCACGTCTGCCAGTGTGGAGTGAACCGGCACCTGGTAATTCTCCCCTCTGCTGTTGCGTCTCCTCCCACACCGCCGGGCCCTTTCTTGCCTGTGGCTGCCACGCATCCCTGAAGGCCAGCCAAGTGGATGAACCGTAAGGAAAAAGACAATTTGTCATGCTTGGACAACGCATTCCCCATTTTCATTTCTCAAATGCTGATTTTTAAATGTTGCCTTTCCCCTCTCTCTTTCCTCAACAAATTGGTGAAAGTTAGGGGTTGCTTTGGTGTACATCTGATGGTGGTAGGACTTTGTATGTTTGTGTATAGAAATAAAGGGGGCAGGAGAGGAAAGTGAGGAGGGAGGAGGATGACCAGAAGGGATGGTTGTGGATGGAGAGAGGAAGAGTGTGCTTTAGAAAACAGGTTGCTAGGGGTTTTAAAGTTTTGTTTTGCAAACGGAATCCTTGGCCCAAACTTTCTCCTGCAGGGCGTCATTAATCTGCCTTGTCCCAGCCTCCTTGCTGGAACACTGGGCCTGGCTCCACCAAGGAGAGCTTGTGGAGGGCTGGACAGCTGCAGCAGCCTGTCTCAGGGGCGCAGTCGTAGTCAAAGTAACAGACCACCCAGGCACTGGGAGAGGAGCCGGCTCCCTGTCTGGGCCCTGACGCGTTTGGGGTTCCTTGGGGAACCCTGGAGTTGAAGGGTTTTAAAGGGTTTAAAGGGTTTAAAGGGTTCCTGTAAACCCCAGTAGAATCTGGGGATTAAAGACATTTAAAAAAACAAACACAGGCAATTCGAGATTACACTGCAGTTAGATTGAAAAAGGTGGTTTTAACTCTTGAGTTAGTAGTCATGACCCGGTGTCTCCAGGACCCTCTCCCTGTGCCAGCCAGCCAGGTCCCGTCCGTGTATCTCGCAAGGGTGGAACGGACAGACACGTGTCACGGGACTGTGGAACTCGTGCACTTTAGGGTTCACAGGATTTGGCTCTTACGTTTTTAAACGGCATCCTCGTTTCCTTTATTGTTTTGGTGGATCGTCCCACATGACCGGATTAACCTGTTGTTTTTGCAAAGTCTCGGGATTTTCCTAAGCTTCCATGCCGCCCGGCCCTTTCTTTGTTGTTAAACCTTCAAAGTGTTTCAACACTGCAGGCCATGGCTGGGCACAGGCCACCGCATTTAGGAAGGCCTTTTCCCCGGGGAGGGCTTATTTTTGACTCAAGGGGTTGCGACTTGACTTTCCTCCCAGGCCACCGACGCCGTCGCAGCGGCGGAGGCTCTGGGGTCGGGCCGGGTTCCAGGGCTGCCGGGAACTCGCTCCTCGAGCTCCGCTAGCGGGCTGTCCGGGAAGGGCAAGGCACGCGGCTGTCGCGGAACGCGGGGCACAGGGCTCGGAGGGCTCGGAGGGCGATCCTCACAGCGGCCCGCCAGGGCGCCCGCGCCTCGGGTATTCCCAGCGCCCACCCTGGCGGCGGGCGGCCCGTGGACGCGCTCCGGAAAGTCTCGAGCGTGCGCGCGCGCGCCCGCCCGGCCCCGATCGCGAGTGCAGGCTTCGGCCATTTCCGTCCCGGTTCCCTCGGCTCACTTCGGCAAGTTCCGCAGTCGCCTGTCGGAAATGGCTGCCGGCCGGCAGGGGGAGCGGGGGATCCAGCGCGGCCTGGGAGGCGGGCGGCCGGCGGCTGGCGCGGCTTCTGGGACGCCGAGTTTGGCGCAGGCGGCGGCGGCTCGTCCCTGAACTGGAAGCTGGTAGGGCTCCTGGCGGCGCGTGAGGCCGCGGGATCGGGGCAGCGCCCGACGCGCTCGCGGAGGGATCCCGGGGTCGCCCCAGCGCGGGGCCCGCGGCGGGTAGGACCGGATCTGGCCGCGGCTGCGGGAGGCTGCAGCCCGGGCGGCGGGAGGCGTGCAGCCGGGAGCCGAGTAGGCCTGCCCGGCGCCCCGGGGGCCTGGGCGGGGGACCACGCGGCCCTGTGCCAGCGGCGAGGAGGGTTAACGGGTCTCGGTGGGGCTGGAAGCACCACCTCCCCCCTACGCCTCCTCTTGTCCCCGTTTGCGCTGCTTCCGACCCACCTCCACCCCTTTTCTTGGAAGCCCGGCTTCAGCTGTTGAGTCCCTTCTCCCCCAAGCCCTCCACCCTCCTCTGCCTGCGGTGTTTGTCCAGCTGCTGGCAGGGAGCATCATTTGTCGACGAAGGCGCAGCTCCGGATCGCACCCCCCCACCCCCATTTCCCTTTGCACACCCTCCACATCTGCCCTGCACTGCTCCCACTTGAAGTCGCCCGCTGTTGCTGCTCTTCCTCTGGATTTTTTTGCGGGGCTCCCTCCTTTTATGATAAGCCACAGTCAGAATGGCCACTTCCTGTCCAGGGGTCCAGGTGCTGCTGCTCTCTGCGTCTTGGGCATTGACGCCCGGGCCCAGCCCCTGTAAGCGGTGGCCTAGAGCAGCATGAACCAAGGGGGCTGCGGCGTGCTGCCTCCACGCCTCGAGTCCGAGCCGGGCGACTCGGCCCGCGCTCCTGGGGACAGAACCAATCCCGAGCCTCTGGAGGTCAGGCTGGGCTGCCTGGCTGCGGATGGGGTGCACTTTATCTCTTCCCCGCTTTCGGTAGGCGGTTCAGTTCCTTTTTAGCTGTCTTAGGCTCTCAAAGCACTTAAATTTAGTGGACCCCACACACACACACCTGGGGACTGTTTTATTTTTAAAAATTTTTAAAGGCTTCAAGTACTCCTGGTTCAACTCCTTTGGTGGGGGAGGAAATGCGGAACACCACATGTCCATTTTTTCCCATATGTGATTTAAGAGGCGTCTTCAGCGTTTATTCTCATCACTTTGTCCTACTCTTTCTCCAGTTTTGGAAGCTCACTTTGGAAGGCTGGGCTCCCCGCGTTTTCTTTTGGCTGTCTGCAGTTTTCTGTATTTTTCTCGACAGTTAGTTGTGCATTCTGGTGCAGTGACTGTTAACTGGGACCAGAGTGCCTGGGATAGTAGCGTGTGGGGCCTGGAGAGTCCGGAGTGAATCTAGCCATTCTCAACACCTTACGTATGTCGCAGGGGGACTTTTAAATATTTCTTGATGAAAGAAAAACCATTTTCTTAAACTTGTGGGAATTTCCCACTCTTCTGCCTGTGGGGAGCCTGAGGAGTCATAAGGACTCAGGAGTATGAGAGAAGGTAACCCAGATGTTTTGTGGAAGAGAGAATTGTGTGTCTTTAGAATTCTTGAAACATTATATATTTAATCCTAAAGATGAGAGAGGCATATCTGTTAACATAATCGTTACCAGACGTGTCTTCTTTGCCCCACCCTCACTTTTCTTGAGAGGAAGAAATCTGTTATTAAATATTTGGCATGGAGCTGAGCTCTCTCCGTGATTAGGCTTCAGATTTAATCTCTGAGTTAAGAAGACTTGAAGTGAAAAGGTTGAAAAGAAATGAGTTAGGGACAGAATTAAGCCTGAAGAATAGACTTCTAGGAGAGAGGGGATGGCTCAAAGGGTGGGTTGACGCCCTCAGAAGAATGTCTGCTGAGTAGGTGAGGGTGGATCCTTTTCTGCAAGGCTCCAGGCTGCCTATAGCGTGGAAAGTCATGGAAGGGGGTGTAGGAGTGTGACAGCAGTGTGGTGGGGTCCCTGTCCTTGTTGAGACTGGTAAGTAGTCTTTTGGGGAACGGTTGGAGGTATCTCATGAAGTTGAGTCAGGTGTTAGAAGAAAAATGAAGATCTCAGCAGATCTGCTCTTGGTAAAGGTTGTGATGTCTTTGCATGTAGTTACTCCAGAGTGAGGCAAGGAATGTGAACCAGGATCCTTTTATGAAGTCCTAGAATTGCCCACTAAATTCTTCTGGATATTAAGTTTAGCTCAGAAAACTTCTGTTAACATATTCCTGTTTTATTTTTGCTTCCTTCGAATTTTTGGTCACGATTTCTCTTGAAACCCTGTAATGATAGGGCAGGTAAATTAAGTAAGAGGAAATAGGACTTTTCATGTTTGTAGGTTCCATGAAAATAACCAAATTCAGGCAGATGGAGGGACTGAGAGACAGAGGAGGGCTCCCCTGTACGCTTGACCTTTCCCTGTCTGAACCCGTCACACACGCCTCTTACAGTTTCAGTCTTTCACTGTCCTGGGTGACGTTACTAGGTGAACGTCAGAATTTAAAAGATCTGTGGTCTTGAAGATAGAAGAGGAACGTGGAGGTTCATTTGGTAACATGCTTGTCTCTTACACTTAGGCCATAACGGGCAGCGCGGGGCATGGCTCACTAGACCCAAACGACCCGTTCACACTGTGGGGACACAGCCATGGGATGGTAATGGTGGGGTCTACTGTAGAGTGGGAGCAGCATGTACAGAGTACAGTGTATGTCAAAACCTAATACACTGATCAGAACACGTAATCCATAACCCAATGAGCAAGGCTGTGTTCCAGTTAAACTTTATTAACAAAAACAGGCAGCTGGCTATTGTGCCTGCCCTCAAGTGTCCCTCCCTCATCCACAGGCCATTACCTTTGTATATTCCTCCATTTGACTGAGTCTAGTATCTTTCAGCCTAGTCAATGATGTTAATGATTAACGTCCTGGGTGTCTGCCTTGTTGACTGTTTTCTCTGTTATCCTCTCATACTGTCATTTCAACCCTCTTTACTTTCCTTTTAAACATTTTTTTCAGCAAATACTTGATACTCTGAGGGAGGAATTAAAAAATCAGGTTGGGAATGTGCCCTTAGCGTGTATAATATGAGGGATAAGATGTACATCAATGAATTTATGATGGTAGGTCTTAAGTTCTTTGTCATCATATGGTACTTTCATGTTTTTTTCTGATATAGATTTTGATCTTTATTTTTTATTGTTTTTTTTTTTTTAAAGACAGAGTGTTACTGTGTCACCCTTGGTAGAGTGCTGTGCTGTCACAGCTCACAGCAACCTTAAACTCTTGGGGGTTTAAGCAATTTTCTTGCCTCAGCCTCCCAAGTAGCTGGGACTACAGGTGCCTGCTGCAACGCCTGGCTATTTTTGGTTGTAGTTGTCATTGTTGTTTAGCAGGTCCGGGCTGAGCTGGAACCCACCAGCCTTGGTGTATGTGGCCAGCACCTGCTATGGGTGCTTAGCCAGATTTTGATCTTTATAACCACTCAAAGATAAGAGGCTAAATGTTAAAAATACTCCTTTTCTTTTTTATTTTTTGTAAGGGAAAAGTAGGTAGGAAAGAAACTGAGGCTTGGGGAGGGGGAGGTACATGACCAAGGTCAGATGTAGTAAGCGGCAGAATTCTTGAACTGGCCAACAAAATTTGACCTGTCCCAACTAAAGTCTTACAGCTTTTCCTTGGATTGAGTTGTGGGTTGCCTCCCTGTGAGTGTCACCTTTTAGGGCCCCATGGAACAAATCTGTGGCTGTTCCCTGTGGCAGTTCCTGAGGTGTTTGAGGATGGCCATCACGTTTCCCATAACACAAGGTGCAGACTGGTGTGTGTGGATCCAGGAAGACCCTGCTCGCCTTATGCAAAAACTGACATTGGAAGCCAACTTTCAGAAATGAGATTTCCCATTAAATACCTATTCCTGTGTTCTCTTGAGAAAGAATTACAGCCTTTGGTGATACAGCTCCCATTTGTGATGCCAGGAACATCCCTTATATGCTCCTTACACTCTTTATATTGCCAGAGTCCCTGCCTGCCGGCTTAACTCACTCACTCGACTTTCAGGGTCTCTGTAGTCATTGAAACTGTCATCCTTTCCTAGGTCTTCTATTCTGTGGGTGAAATATTCTTACTTCATTCAGGTATTCCTTATCTGACTTTTCAGATCTTCTAACTTCTTTTTTTTTTTTTTTTATTGAATGGTAACTATGTACATTAAATGCATTTCTGGGGTACAGTGTGGTGTTTTCACGCACAGTCCGAAACACTTCCATCAAACTGGTTAACATAGCCTTCATGTCATTTTCTTAGTTATTGTGTTAAAATGTTCATATTCTACTCTTAGAAAGATTCACTTCTGTGTAAGATAAACCACAGAAGTGATTCCTCAGGCTCGGCACCTATAGCTCAACCGGCTAAGGCGCCAGCCACGTACACCTAAGGTGGCGGGTTCGAATCCCCAGCCCGGACCCGCCAAACA